TAGACAGTTTCCGAAACTTAAGTGTGTCCAAAAACGATATCTAAATAACATTTCGTGGAATATATGTCCAAGAATTACTCAACTTCTCACAAACACGTACATATGTAGATACGCATACACACGCACACTCATCCAAAACATACATATGCAACAAAGAGCTACCCATTCTCAGGGTTAACAAAACGAGGGAAGAAGAAAAAAAACACACACACACATTTACCTGGACATCTTAATTAAGGTGAAATGTTTATTGCCACGCGAGGGCCTTTTGTTTGGTGTCCCACTGTTTTGGGAGGGCCATAAATAATTTATGTTAATCCAACTCACCTTTTGTTTTGGGAAACATCGACATGCCCTTAACAACAATGGTTGCCAGTCGGGGTCAGCCCGACATCATAAATGCAATTTAAAGAATGGCTTCTTGCAAGTCTGTCCTCACAGAATTTCCAAAGCCATCATCGGCCTTAAATGAGTTTGGCCTCAAAAGGGAAAACTAGATCATCACTTCCACTTAGTTAAGCTACCTGCTAGCTAGTTAGTTACTTGCAACAGTAGTTACAGTTACTAATCGCCCCGTGTTATTTATGGTTTAAACAGATAATAATATTAACAATCATCGTAATCGTATCTAGGTAATTGTAAAATTTGTCCACATCCATAATCCTCACACCGGGTGTTGCGTTGTGTAGCTAGCCCAGCCAACCTTTGTTTTAGCAAACATACCAAGCATTTAGTCTGTCTTTAAGTAGCGATGATCGGTTGTTTTTGAATTATGGCCCTGCAGGAAACCCATAGAGAAGATTAGTCGTCGTCGTCGCTCCGTTTCATTGTCACACTCTTTTAAAAGTGAGTGTCTGTCACTCACTCACTCGAATCGAATTGAAGGTGTTTGTTTTGTTTATCAATGAACACTCTGACGTCTAAACAGACCAGGCGACACTTGTCACGGTGTAAATATTTGCAATTTGTGGTTAATTTTTTGTCACGCTTTGCCGACAATAAAGATATTATTTATGGTGTTTTGTAAGAAATCCGAAAACAACAACAACAATGCATTTGCAATTGCAATTGGAAACAATGGACGAAAATTTGCCAAGGTATTGACTTCCACCGTTTAGCCACCATTAAATGTTATTTCTATCGATTTGGAATCAAATGTGTTTATATAAAACCAGTACACCACTTTGCTAATTTAGTAAAGCTCCGCATAACAATTAAAAGTTTTTATGGGAGAATTCAAACATACACGCTATGATTATAATTATAATTTACAGTTCAAAGGACTAAATATGCCGAAGCATTTGTATCTTTTAAATTCGGACTTGTATTACCCATTGGATATATATGGGAGCTTTATCCAAATCTGAACCGATCTCGATAAAATTCGGCAAATATATTTCTGAGCTGTATTTGATATATTTCCCTGAATATCGTTGTTACGGAGTGCATATTACGGCTGTGGGTAACAAATCGGATGAACAATATATATGGGAGCTATAGCTATATCTGAACCGATCTTCACCAAATTTTGCATACTAAATTCTAGACTCAATTCGGTAGTATGTGCCAAATTCCATCCCATTTGGGCAAATATTAGACGGTTGATGCACAATAAAAGGTAAATCGGACGAAGTTATATATGGGAGCTATATTCAAATCTGAAACGATCTCGATAAAATTTGGCAAAGGCATTTCTGAGCTGCATTTGATATATTTCCCCAAATATTGTTGTTACAGAGTGCATATTACGGCTGCGCAGGACAAAAATGACAAATCGGATGAACAATATATATGGGAGCCATAGCTATATCTGAACCGATTTCGATCAAATTTGGCATGCTTATTTTCAGGCCTAATTTGGTTGTATGTGCAAAATTCCATAGTATTCGGACTCATATTACACGTTTGGTGCACAATAAAAGGCAAATCGGAGCTATATCTAAATTTTAACCGATTATCTCCAATTTCAATAGGGTTCGTCCCTGGGGCAAACAAATGTTGTTTGAAAAACTTCATCTCAATCGGATAATATATGCGACCTGCATTTTGTTCACAAGAATACATGGACAGACGGACGGACTGACATGCATAAATCAACTCAGAAAGTGGTTCTATGGAGATCCTTAAAAGTAACTATGGGTCTATCTCGCTTCTTTCTCCATGTTACAAACAAATGCACAAAGACATAATACCCTGACCACCTTGTGGTGTAGGGTATAAATACCGAATATAGCCGAAATAGGGTCTATACGAAAACGTTCCAAACCGGAAAAAAATCCCCCGATATATGGGGGCTATACGAAGACCTGGATCTGCATAGACAATTTTATATGGGGGCTATGCGAAGACGTGGACTTACATAGCCCATTTGCAATACCAAAAGTCCTACAAACACCATATGCATTTGAGTAAAAAGTCATCTAGCTACTTCATTTCGTTAGGAAGCTTGGGTTATTTCCACAGACGGACCGAAGAACATTGCTAAATCGACATAGAGTCAAATGATCAAATGTGTCTTTCGAGGTGTTACAAACGGAATGACAAACTTTATATACCCCCCCCCCCCACTTTTATGGGGGGGGGGGAATGAAAAAGATAAAAGATTAAATCGTGACTACGGCGTGAAAATGTTGCCATTTTTTTGGCTACACGAAGTCACGATTTAAGCTTTAATCTGTTTTAGCCTTAGCCAGAAAGTGACCATTTCGTATCATATGAACGTTTATAGCTAAAAACTTGAAATTTGGATTGGGAATCAAGGTTTAGAAGTAGAGCCGATGTTAGAAGTTAGTTTTGAAAGGGTGTACTCATGTGTACGATAAGTACTAAATATGGCACAATTTGAATTTGAAGGAACGAATGGAGGAATCCTGAAATTGAAATAACCATTACTCGCGGAGTGTAGGATTGGAAAATAGAGGTAGTTTTCGGTGCACGAAAAGTACTAAATGGTATTAAATTTAGTACAATCTGAATTTTGGTAGAACCGATAGAGTTGGAATCTTGAAATTTGGAAATAAAATTACTATTGGGATTGCGGTATGTAGGAAGTTTCGGAAATTTGCACTTATGTGTACTATATTTGGTACAATTTAAATTATCGGAAAACCGGTAGAGTTGGAATCTTCAAAATTGGAAATATGATTTCTATCGGATTGCATTATGTAGGTAGTTATGGAAACTTTTACAACATTTGGTACACTTTGGGTGTATTTGGGTGAACCAACACCAGCCCTATCCTGAAATTTGGAAATAATGCTACTGTCGGAGTGGATTGGGATATGGAGGTAGTTTTGGAAATTTGTACTTATATGTATTAAATTTGGTACAATTTGGTATTGGGTGAGAGGATAGAGCTGGAATTCGCAAAATTGATTGATATTGAGGTCTCTGTTGCTATCTGGAATTCAGATATGGAGGTGATTTTGGAAATGTGTACTATAATTGTACGAAAAGTACTAAATAGTAATAAATTTGATAGTGGGTAAAGGAATAGAACTGAAATCATGAAATTTGATGAGATTGATTAGAATAGGCTGGGCAGAACTTTTAATACCCTTCACCATTTGAAAGGAAATTTTCAAAAAAAAAAATCCGTCGAAAAATACCGCCATGGGGGCTATACAAACACGTGCATTTTTTTCATAGGCTGCAGTACCGATTCCGAATTTCAAATACGAAATTTGAAACAATTCCGTTGAGTAATGTCGATAAAATCATCAAAACAACGAATATCGGGAGGTACCGTTATATGGGGACTATACGAAGACGTGAACATTGACAATTTTCTGTCATATCTTGTGGAACCTATTGCGAACTTCAAATACAAAATTTTACACAATTCCATTGAGTAATGTCGCTAAAATCATCAAAACACCGAATATCGGAGGTACCATTATATAGGGGCTATACGAAGACGTCGACCTGCATATGTCATAGTAGTTTTTCGTAGACTGTAGTACCCATTAAGATCTTCCGGTCCATAAGGTCTCTAAGTTACCTAAATAGAGGGGACAAGTTCCACACTTTTGGACATTTTCGAATTGGCTGTGTGCGAAAATCTCCAACTAATCATCATTTTAGAAGGATGACGTCGAAGACAAATATATTCTTCATCAATTTGCACTATAAGTCTCCAAAATAGAAAGAAGATGTATCATTTTCGGAGAAAACCTACGAATATATTTTTTATCAATATTTCCCCGGACTTTTTCCGATTTAACGGCTGGAAGCTTCATAAAATGTCTTTGTAGATGGAAGATGTCCAAAGAAGAAATATTCTACACACAAGTTCACTATAAATCTCAGGATAAACGATATATCTAGATGCAATAGTTTTTATGAAAAATACATTTAATATTAAATCTTCTTTTTTTCTTAATTATTTGGGAAAAGTGTCAAAGCAAGGATTATTCTAGATCAAATTTCATTGTGAGTCTCAGAACAAAAGAAATGTGTACACTTAATATTTACCTTAAAAAATGGTATCAATTTTTATTAATAAAAACGCATATTTATTTCTAAAAAAATTAACTTCTTAATTTTACCATCATATATATTTTCCTAATCAATAATTTTCTCTCAATGGATTTTTATTGTAAAATTCGTATAACACCACAAGTTACAAAAACCAATCTAAACATGGCAAAAATGTGTGCCTATTAATCAGTGTGTTTAACACAGGCATAAACCTTGTACAACTCCCTGATGGCAATGCCATTTACTACTGACTTACAGTTGGCAACTCTTTCTTTGTTCTCTTGGAAATAACTTCAAATAACTTCATGCTGTATTTTAATTCAAAAATAAATTTTACAAAAATTAAAATTCAAGCAATAATAATTCTGTGAAGCAATCCAAAATAAAAGTTGCTATAGATAGATTTAAAAGCCAACTGTAAAGAGATTGACTGTAAGGACAGGCAAATAGCAAAAAAAATTATCCAATTTCCTTGCAATTTACAAATCGACTAAACACCTCATACGATTTTCGATAACGATACTTTGATTAATCGAAAACCAACCTACATATCCCTGGACAGCACGGCAATTGTCACGAAAAAAAACAAAGTCATCAAGCAGTTGACGAAGAAGAAGCATTCATTATATTGCAAAAAATTATTGTTTTCTCAATACAATTCACATTTTAATCCGAGAAATGGTAAGTTTTGTAAGATATATTTTTAAATTGGGTCACTTAATGTTGTGTATTGCTTTCAGGAACAATCTATTAAAGTCCAACCCACAGCCAACACAGTTTTGGATGCTGCTCCCACAGTTGCTGGCCCCGGCAAAAGTAATTGTCTGATGCAAGTTGCCCACATCCATCGTCTGCGTGATTCCGAGGCCAACTATGACACACATCAGTACAATTTGCAAATGCAGGTGTTGAGGAATCGCGAAGGCTTGAATGCTCCACTGAAAATGGGAATGGAATTGCATGCTGCCCGCCAAGTTGGTCGTTTGCCATTCTTGCAATCAAGGTGAGACAGCAAATTTTTGTATCTTCTGCCAAGGAATGGAATGTTTGTCTATTTTCTTATTCATCGTGGATATCCTCATAAATTCAAGTCAGACTCTTTTAGTGCCCAAGAAGCCCCAAGGCTATCGATCCTTATTTTTGCAAAGAACATATAAGGCAGTACATTCCGATTTGAAATATTTTAAGAGTTTTGCCAAAGTTTTGACATATAATTTAATATGCGTTAGCACAAGAATTTATAGAAATGGTAATTGTGTCTTAAGTTGGGGGCTGTGCTCGGATTGACCAGAACTTTTTACCACGTTTAGGTCTTTGTAACCTGATTACGGCAAAGTAATTTTTCCGTGGGTGATATATTCGACATGCTACATTATAGCCTACACTCTTGCCTTTCCAAAATAGTAGCATATGTGCTGATATCTACTGGTATAAAAATGCCAATTTACTTGCATTACTCCGGAACCCGTCGCAATAACCCCATCATATGACCACTTGCTGGATAGGTATTTCCTTAAGCTTACATACCATTTTGTATATATCAATTTTATAGAACCGGTTAAAAACCGGATGTTGTATCCCAACTTTCGGGTCAAATAACCGGGAATTTCCCCCCATGAAAAAATACGTTCACTCCATCAGGTTAAAAACACCTGCATGCGGTAATAATTTCAAAATAGTCCCTAAACTCATTTTGCTCCCAAAGGAGAAAAATAGATACATGATATACGTTTGTGTGAACAGAGTACAGCTTGTGCTCTTTGTCCAACTGTTTGGCCCATAGGTCAACCCTGTAACAGTGATAATAGTTTCAGATCAGGATTCGCACAGCTACTTTCTAAACATTTCATTCTATTTAAACTTTAAATCCCCAAGCCAGATATTATGTACAGTCTAGAAACACCTTTGCCAAATTTTGACTGGATCGATTCAGATTTAAATGTAGTTCGTGAGTTGACGTGCATTTCAGGTAAAAGTTTCGATTCACTTAAAATTCTTATAAATACTTTAACCCTATTTGCAATAAGGATATGTAATAGTAATAATACAAATTGTTGTAGTAGTAATAATACAATCTGTTCTTCTAAGATTAAAAGGCTGGGAATTTGAAATAAAGCAAAAAATGTTAAATCGCTTTATTAACATTTTTACAATCATTTTAAAAAATTGTTTCCATATTGTTTACAGCCGCATGATGGAAGATGTCTTGTTGGGCCGCGATGAGATGATTACATTCCCCGACTTTTTGGGTGCTCCAGAGAACTTCGAATTCCTTCGCCAACCTCATGTTGTTATGGAAAAATCTTTAGGAATTTACTAAGCTCCGTATTCAAGTTTACATCAAATGTACGTACAATGGAAACAGTGAATTATAAAATTTAAAGAGGTTTTTGTAATTAAAATTTTAAGATAATAAAATAACACAAAAATTAATAAAATCGAAGTTTTTTTTCTGAAACAGTATAAATTAAGTTGATTTATGGAGATATTGGAGTCATACTCTAGTTTTGGCATGGGATTTGCAAGTGGGCGAATTCATACTGTTTTTTTTTTTTTCTAGACCCCTTGTACTTTCCTTAAGGTGACAATACTTTAAACGTTTTTTCTAGCCAGAAGCCAGCCGATGACTTAAGGCAGTCAACTAAGAGTTTTATGTATTAGAGCGTAACATATAAGACATGTGTATCTGCGTTTTGGAAGTTTACATAAAACAACAAAGGAGCGTAGGGCCAAAATCTAAAACTCCTTTGGTCCTGTACGAAGAAGCCAGCCGATGACTTAAGGCAGTCAACAAAGCGTTTTATGTATTAGAGCGTAACATATAAGACATGTGTATCGGCGTTTTGAAAGCTTACATCGAGAGGCAACATATTTTTGAAAGTATTCGAGTTAAAATTCCTTGGAATTGATGCATTTTTAATTCACAAAATTGTTCGTCATAAAATTTTACTCTAGGTCTTTTTAGTATAGGGCTCATAATAAACCATAACTCCACATCTATATACATATATATAAAAATCAATTGTTGTTCGTTGGTAATGGAATCAGTTGAGAACGGCTGAACCGATTTGCATAATTTTTTATAGAAACGTTCGTCATACCCCGAGTTAGGTTTTTAAAGAAAAAAATATTGAATGTTTTAAATTGGATACAGTCCTAGGGGTTACATGAGGAATCATTTGTGCAAAATTTGAATTAGGTTGGTCTACATTGTGATATAACCTCTTTCAAATTCCTCAAATGTTGGTAATTTGAGATTTTAGAAAGAAAAACAAATTCTTTCAAATAATTTTAAGTATAGGGCAATTCTTCATTATAACTCTTATGTGAAGGTATCCGGTGATTGTAGCTATTACAAGGGTCTTGGTCACATTTGTCAATTGATTTTGCCCTTATTTGGCATCTAGCTTCTGGTAAAAGACCTCTTCGCGGAAATTTTTCAATGTCAATGTTTCGGAGTAGGGCTCATATAAAAGTACCTCCTGATTTTACCGATTTCGAGGGTTTTGATTATATTTTCGAATCGATTTGACTTAAAATCTGTGTTTATGCTACTTTTGGGGTAGAGAAAAGTAGCATAGCATAGTACATGGGCCCATTATAAATAGTTAATGTATACTTTTTAATATATATGCTATATTATTTAGGGTTTTAACTCTAAATCTAAAACCTCTTACTGAAAAATAGGATCAGGTTTTTGAAAAGACATATTTATTTCTATTTAATCGAGTCATCATTTATACTATACGAGTCATCGTTTATATTTATACTAAAAATGGTGCCACTTACGTGAGCCAGATGTGAGAATTATTATGCTTTAAAACCTATGCATTAAAGACTAAAACTTCGGGCCGGCAACGCGGACTGGGCCAGCTAGTAGTAAATATAATTGAGGGCAACATGTTGGAATATATTTATGGTAGGAAGACCCTCAAAAATTCTTAACTTTTATACCCTCCACCATAGTATGGAGGGTATATTAAGTTTGCCATAATTATGTCAAATGTGTATTATTTCTGCAGGACTTTTGGTATTGAAAATGGGTCATGAACGTTCACGTTTTGGTATAGCCCCCATATAATGGTAATGGTATAATGGTACCTCCCTTTTTCAGTATTTTTGTGATTTAAGCGACATTATTCACCGGAAATGTTTCAAATTAGGTATTTGAAGTTCGTTATGGATTCTACAGCCTATGACAGAAAATTGTCTGTGCAGGTCCACGTCTTCGTATTGCGCCCCATATATAACGGTACACCCTATATTCGGTATTTGGATGATTTTAGCGACATTATTCACCGGAATAGTTGGTACTGGATACAACAGCCTATAACAGAAAATTGTCTGTGCAGGTCTACGTATTTGTATAGCCCCAATATAACGGTACCTCCCTATATTCGATATTTTGATGATTTTACCTACATTATTCACCGAATTTTTTATTCTAGTTTGGCATTTGAGCATTGTAATGGTTTATCACCCTAATATAACGGCTACATTCTCTATGTTTAAGATTTTAACAGAATTTTTAACGGATTTTAATTTTATTTTAAATTGCCAAAATCGTTCCAAATGGTGAAGGGTATTCAAAGATCGGCCCGGCCAAACTTACAGCTTTTTTACTTGTTTTAAATCGAATCATGTAAAATTGTTTCTCCTTTTTGACGTATCCACAAACGCCTTCCAAAACTGTTTTAGGGGTCCCAACCAATAAAAAAATGAGATTTTCGAGTTAATAGCTCTAAAAATATGCCCAAAGAAGGAGAGTTACCACTTTTCCTTTCCCCCCAAATAAAACTCCATTTCAATATTTGAGCCAAATATGCATTCTATATTGTATAACACATCTTAATACATATGAATGTAAGTTCGAAAGCACAAAACAGCTTTAACATTATATTTCGACAAATTTTCTTTCTCAATAATAGTAATAATAGTACATAGTATATAATGAATAATTCAGAATAGTATAGTTTATCATTTTATATAGTATTTTTTTTATTTTTGTGTTATTGTAGTAATACATTAATAATTTGTTGTTTGTAGATGATATATGTAATTTCTTTAACTATTGCTAAATGCAGAAAATATGTGGTTTATTTGTGGAGTTTTTGTTTGATTTTCTCAATTATTTAAAAATAATTAATAGAAACTAATGAAATAAAACATGGTTTTATGAAAAAAAAAACTATTAAATACATTATCATGCTTGTACTTAGCCAGTAAAAAAATTATATAAAAATTGAAAAAAATATAAATCTAAAATTATAAAATATATAAAAAATTGCAACAATTATATTGTAAATGGACGAATTCGAGTTACAAATAGTTTGCATTTTCAATACAAATTCAAACTAAAAAAATTATTTGTATTTTTTTGCACTTAGTTTTATGGGAAAAATAAAATAATAAAAACTAAGCTTTAAATCATGGTGTAATAATCGGACATAATTGGACATTTAGATTTCAAATTTGTATTATTTAATTAAATGTAATATTAGAAACAAATTTTACATACACGATTGCCAAGCCATGTTCGTGATACTAAAATGAAGAATATAATGTTTATCTTTTATTTTCACTAACAAAAAACAAACAAAATTAACAACTGCATTTGAGTTTTTTTTTTAATTAAAACACGCACGTACGCACATAAAGTCTACTTGATTTTACTAAGTAAGAAATAGAGGCGTGTTAAAAGTTTGTTTTTATTTAAAACTCGACCACTAAAAGCTAAAATTAACAATAAGAACACTTTGTATCTTGTTTTTGTTGTTGCTGTTGTGTATTCATAGTAATTGTTGGTATTGGAGGAAATAAATGATCATTTCGAGAAGTAAAATTTTTCATTTTAGCAAAAGCTTTTTAGAGGAAGCAGCAGCAGCCAACACAGCTGATGTTTTGTTAAATTATATTCGTCGTCGTCATCATTTTTCCGGATCGTCATTGTTTCTAAATAATTAAGCATTTTATTTCGAAGTATGTATAAAAAGTCAAGGTTAGCAAGGTTGCATTCTTAATATATCCAATTAACTGGCACCCATTGTTCTTGATGACTCATTTCATCAAGTGTCTCAACTACTTGTCGGAACGTGTCATCGAAATCTTCGTTGACTATGACCATATCAAAGTATTTCTCATATTTTCGTTGTACAAATGCACTCTCCTCAACGGTGGAGATTAGATCATCGTCCTGCAACAAATAATACAACACTTTAGTGAGGAATTCAAAAAGGATTAACGCAAAAACATACCTCATATAAGGATGCCAATGATTCCAAGGTACGGGCACGTCTAGAACTAAAACGTATGGAACTTTGGCGATCAAACTGAAACACAAACCAACAAACCGTAATTCATTATTAGATATTTCATTTAGATAACGTTTCCCACTACCCACCGTTAAATTCTTATTCGAACCGGTAGCACGTCGCTCGGCATAAATCGATTTTAATTGTTCCATACCCGGTGCTCCGATGAATATAACAAATGGCATCAAATCTTGACTATTGTGCAGAATTTTCAATGCATTCGGGGCACAGTCCAAGACGCACATACGTCCATTGTTTATGACATCCTTGATCGATTGTATATGTGTGCCATAGAGATTTCCATTGTGTTCACCATATTCCAAGAAGTTATTTTTATTGATTTCCTGTTCCATCCATTCGCGATCGACAAACCAATAACTGACACCGTTCTCCTCGAGGGCCCGCTTGGGACGTGTGGTATCTGGCAGGAAAATCAATCATTAAAATCATTAAAAGTTTGTTGTGCTCGTGTTTATGGCATTTCCCTTTAGTAATTGCAAAGTATACTTTAAGGCGCTCCTCAAAATTTCGTACCAATTCAATGCAAAATACTAAGTAAAAATTCATTTGTATCATACTTACGAGGTATAACATAACCAAAACGATCTGGATCACTGTTGACTAAACGATTCTTCAATGTTCGTCGTCCCACACCAGATACACCAATTAATACCAAGGTTTTTCTGCGGAACGGTGGCATGCGCGTAACTTCTTCGTACAACATTAGTTCAGCCTTGTCAAATTCACAGTTTGCCACCGAACGATACATAGTCTTACGTTTACGTTTTGAGATCTGCAAAGAGAGATATAGAATGGGTGAATATCAATTAATACATTTTTTCTCCTTGTTTCATGTGACGTAAATTCAAACTCCAAAGAAATGGATGGTTACATGATCGATGAATTTTCAAAAAGTGATAGTTCAAATGGATGCAGATCCAATCAATTGATATTCTATTGGCTATGGAGTGTATAGATCCCCTGGTCCATATTTTGCGCAGCGGCTGAGCAGGTTGCCCCAGCGAATTATGGGGAGAAGGCCACAGCTCGTCAGAAAGCTTGTCAATTAATTTACTTACTATTTTTATCAGACATATTCGTATTTAAAAGAGGCAGTTAAATTTCATAACATCTGAATTCCACAATTCTGTGAATTCTCCAACATCTAATATTGGTTTAGGAGAAAAAGTTTTTCGAGACATAGTCGTTCATTCACAACCGAAGATCTCACTTGATCGGACTAGTTTCAAAATGTTAAGGTCTATCTTACAGGTGATTTCAGCTCCAATAACTCTATCCCTACTCTCTCTCACTAACATATAACATATTCTAGGCCTCTTTTGTGTTAAAATTCACCTGCAACTTCTTCAAGAGTTTAAAGTCTACGCTCATTCATGTTCAGAAAGACCACGATCTGAAAAGAGACGTATTATAATACAAAAGACAGCCTCTAGATCAGCAGGACTGAATTGTATTCACTTGGCATTAAAGCAATGAAAAATGCAGAGTGAATAACGGCTTTCGAGATCCTCTGTTACCCATTGAAGCAGAAGAACAAAAGTTACGTCGAAAAACCTGAGTAGTTTCCCATAACTGAAATCAGGATGGTGCAGACACCTTCATTCGTACTGGACTCGAATTAACACTGGAATGTTAATTGGCCAATTTTTAGTGACCAAAGAAAAATTTGAAAAAATAATAGATTGATTTGTTTGCGGTAACAATTAGATAACATCAATGGGTAACTTTGCTATGGGCTCAACCCACACAGGTTAGAAGAAAATATCCATTTTGTTAAATCAGCTCTTAAAAGTCATAATAAGAAGGATAATTGACAGTCATTAGAAACACTGTAATTTTGGATTTATAGAATAGAGTACAATTTTATATGGGAGCAAAACTGGGATAAAGAGCAAATTCATGGATAGAGACCTGAAGTTTGATATAATCGGAAGAGTGTAGGCATAAAAGTACAAATATAAGCTGAACATTAAAAGGACCATTCCCAATATCCGTTGAGAAATAAAACCATTTTTGGTTATGCCATTTTCGACACAACATAATATACGGCGGAAACGTATGGCATTTACATCCGTCTTAGTTACTGGAAGACAATTACCTAAGCTGATTTTGTCTTAATATTTTATGATTCAATGAAAACTTAATTTTTCCACAGCAATTGATATTCTCAAACTTACCCTTGTACCACAAATACCAATTTTGTGCACATAATCGGCTTCGGGAGCCACAAACGCCTTACGTCTCTCTTCCAATTCCTGAGATGGTATCAAACCGATCTGATCACTTTGAGCAGTAACATTTTTGGCTTGCCACCAATTGGGATCCTTGACATTGATGATCTGCGAAAATAAAAACGGAATTATGAAAATTTTAACTTCGAGAAATATTTGTAATATATACCTGTAAAATATCTCCCGATTTGAAGGCCAGACCAATATCTTTGCAGGGCAGTAGGGAATCCTCCGATGGACTATATGTAAATAAGGCACGCATGTAACACTAAGTAAAGGGGAATTTTTATTAATTTATTTCTTAAAATAAAATGTATTTATAATGTGTATCCTACTCAGGGTAATGGCTGGATTTTGATATTTTTTGGATTTCTTATGGCCTAATTTCTACTTACTGGAATGGATTGATTGATTTATTTTCTAACGATTTTACTTTGTTTTTGACCTTTGATTACCAATGTACCAATTGAAAGATATCAATTAATGTTATTAATATTTCATACAATATTTATTTTTTAAATATATGTAATTGCAAATATAGTCAAATTTTGGGCATAGCTTTAGACATGCATTTTTTATTTTTTCTTTTTTTTTTTTTTTTTTGAATTTTCCTTTGCATAGGATTTTAATATTTCTGTTAAAAAATATACTTTTTTGTAACCAATTAAATGTTTAAATTAGTTAGCAAAAAATTGTACAAAAAAAAGCTAAATTGCATTTATATTTATCTCCTACACCACATAGTGGTAAGGGTATTATGTCTTTGTGCATTTGTTTGTAACATGGAGAAGGAAGCGAGATAGACCCATAGTTACTTTTGAGGATCGAAATAGAATCGTCTTTCTGAGAACAAAAATCAGGTCGCATTTTTTATCCGATTGAGATGATATTTTCCAAACAATATTTGTTTGACCCAAGAACGAACCTTATTGAAATTGGTGACAATCGGATTAGATTTAGATATAGCTCCCATATATCTTCAACCAATTTCGGGTTAATTGTGCACCAAATGGCCAATATAAGTCCAAATGACCAGAATTTTTGTACATCCCACCGAATTCAGTCTAGAAGCAAGTACATCAGATTTGGAGAAAATCGGTTCAGATATAGCTATAGCTCCCATATATATGTTTCATCCGATTTCATCCCTCATATTCATAATATGCATTCGACAACAATTAAATTTGGTACCAGATATCTTATAGAGCTCGGAAATACCATTGCCAATTTTTATCGAGAATGGGTAAGATTTGGATATAGCTCTCATATTTATCCGTAATCCGATTTCAGGTTTATTGTGCAAATAATGGATTATATCTCCACGAATGGAGTGAATTCCGGGACGAACGTTTCCATTTTGTGGAACACGGCTCCGATATATACCATCTACCGTAGTATGGATTATGTTTGTCATTCAAAATCAACATGAAAATGGGCCATGTAGGTCCACGTTTAGGCAATGGTATCTCCCTATTTTCGGTATTTTGGTGATTCAAGCGACATTATTCACTGGAAATGTTTCAAATTTGGTATTTGAAGTTCGTAATGGATACTACAGCCTATGACAGAAAATCGTCCGTGAGTGTCTACGCCTTATAGCGGCACCTCCCCCATATAGCGGCACCTCCCGATATTCGGTATTTTTATGATTTTAGCGACATTATTCACCGGAATTGTTTCAAATTACGTATTTGAAGTTCGTAATGGATACTATAACCTATGACAGAAAATTGTCTGTGCAGGTCCACGACTTCGTATAGCCCCCATATAATGGTACCTCCTGATATTCAGTATTTAGATGATTTTAGCAACATTATTCACGGGAATTGTTTCAAATTTCATATTTGAAGTTCGTAATGGATACTATAGCCTATGACAGAAAATTGTTTGTCCAGGTCTACGACTTCGTATAGCCCCCATATAACGGTACCTCCCGATATTCGGTATTTAGATGATTTTAGCGACATTATTCACCGGAATTGATTCAAATTTGATATTTGAAGTTCGTAATGGATACTACATCCTATGACAGAAAATTGTCAGTGGAGGTCAACGTCTTCGTACAGCCCCCATATAACGTCACCTCCCGATTTTCGATATTTTGATGATTTTAGCGACATTATATGCCGGAATGTTTCAAATTTGGTATTTGATGTTCGTTATCAAAACTACGTCTTTGTATAGCCGCCATATAACGGTAGAAAATTGTCTGTGCAGGTCCACGTCTTTGTATAGCTCCATTGAAGTTTCGCATTTTAATATTTTAATGGCTTATGACAAAAGTTGCCTATGCAGGTTCACGCCGTCGTATAGACTCTACTATATAACGACTAAATTCGGAATTTTTAAAATATTAATAGATTTTTTAACGGATGTTACTTTGTTGAAAATTGTCAAATTCGTTGCAAATGGTGGAGGACATTGGAGGAAACTTCGGCCCGGCCGAACTTACAGCTTTTGTACTTGTTTAATATAGTCCTTCTCGAAGTGATATCATGCACTCTATAGCAATATTATTTGGTATAAAATATTAAAAATCGATTCAGAATTGGATATGCCACCTAAATATTAGTTCCCTCTGAACCCAAACTATAACTGCTCTAAAGCCAAATGTTGATAGGTGATTTGATCTACTTCAAATTAATTTTTTGGTTACGGGAGCTCTCCTAAATATGCATAGTGGTGTAGGGTATCATATAATCGGCCCAGCCCGACTTTTGACTTTTCCTTACTGGTTTTATCATAAGTCTGAATAGTTTATTCAGATGCCACTGCGATTGAAATAACTAAATACAATCGCAAATGGGTTAATTTGAATGCCAGAATTGTTTAAAAGTAATTTGACTTTAAGGCTTATAAGAGAGCTGACTCAGGAGGATTCTCTCCCAAAAACTCGCGGTGTAAATTCTACGCTATAGAAGTAGGTTAATAGAAGAATACGTATTTTTCTTCATGCAAAAGCCAATAATGAAAATATTTCTACAATACCAAAACAAATTAAAGTATTTTATCTAACAGTAAAATGGAAACACACAAAACTACATATATCTTTTACAAACATAAATCCAAATAAATTAACAATTAACAATTTAAAATTGAAAAGAAAGAAAACAACATTCGACTAACACCACCTACCGTCAATTTTTTGCCCGGCTCAATTTTAGCAACACCATTTTGTTTTACCTGGCCCCGTTGGAGACGTGCCGATTTGATTTCTTCCTCAACATTTGGACCAATTTTCAGTGTTAGATTTTCCTTGGCTCGCGACACCTCCACCTGCAGATCTTCGGGTGTGTGCACGGGTGTACCGTTAACTTCCAAAATAACATCACCAGGATGTAAAAGACCTTGTTTATCGATAACACCACCAGCTAAGATACGTGCCACCACCAACTGTTTATGTTCGTCCACTTCGACGGTAAGACCGAGCGGTTGATTTGGATTGCGTCGCAATCCGACCATTTTGATTGTTTCGATTGGCATTTTCGTTGCAAACAGATCGGGCGAAAAGAGATAGCCACCAGATTTACGTTGTGAGATTTCTTCGAGTTTCGTTAGGGAACCACCGGCAGCTTTTAAACGGGCTTCGTAGAGATAGCCTATTTCATCGTGGGCACGAATGAGAGCCTGCAAAGGAAAAGCGAGAGGAAAATATAAGGGTTATTAAAAAGAAAATATAATTGGAAAATAATTTAATTAGGAGGAGTTTGGTGTAAAAGGGATCACGTTTTTATGTCGGTATTAAGAAGGAAGGAAGTGTGGGGGCACAGAGGGCGAAATCATGAATTCCGTATTCATCTCAGGTTTCTGGTTGAGAGAAATATTAAGATGTAACAAGTTGTAAAGAATCGCTGACTTGTTTCGCAAGTTATGACAGATAAAAGTATTGAAAATTGTGACCCTTTGTGGGTGAAGTTTCAGAAGGGGGGTTCGCAGCTATATATATCATCTTCACAACAGATAATGTGTTGGCAAAAATGTTTGTATGCGTGAAATTTGATGAGAGCTGGATGCTTATTTCGCTTTCTTTGAGCGTTTTGTTTTTAAAATCTTGAACTCTATGTGGCTATGTGGGGGAGGTACCAGAAGAAATGGTCCGATCTCTACTATCTTTATAACAGATCTTGCGTTTATGGAAATATTGAAATGTACCAAGTCTGAATGGAATCTGATGTTAATTTCGTGTTTTATGAGCTTCATGAATATTCAAAATTTTGAGCCTTGTGGAGGAGGTACCAGAAGGAGTAAACCGATATATATCATCTTCACACCAGACCTTGGTGTGAAGACTCTTACATCACATTTTATAAGGGTTATACTTATTCAAAACCCTTAACCCGTTGTGGGTTAAGTCCATTCTCGAACCTGACCTAGCATTAATGTAAATATTAGAATTCGCAAAGTTGGAGCAAAATCGGATTATCCTTTCTCTTTCTGTGCAGTAAATTATTTTCTTTGAAAGATTGACATTTTATGTGGGAGGTACCAGAAGGAATAGACCGATATTGCCCATCTCCGAACTCGATATAATTTAAACAATGATATTACGATGTACCAAGTTTGGATCAAATCGGATACTCCCTTCGAGAGTTATTGTGCGCACAAGCACGCAGACAGACGGACCGACGGACATCGCTAGATCGACTCCAAATGCCCTATAACGGATTTAGTCCAAAGAGACCTACGGTCTAAAACCGTTATTTCGATGAGGCATTAAATGATGTATACCCTCTCTGAGGCTGAGTGTATAAAAATAGGACAAAAATACCCACGATTCAGGGAAGAACGGTCGATGATTTGAGAGGAGAATTTAGTTTTGAACGGCCCATGATTCTGGAAAAAATCTAGTGAAGAAGAAGAATATGGGTTTAAAGGATCCTTGATTCCTAGGAAGAATTTGGATTCACAAATCCGCAATCCTCGCAAAGAACTTGGCACTTTAAATATCCTACGGTTCAAGGGAATTGTTTGGGTTAAAAATGCCGATTTTCGGAACATTTTTCAGTTGAAAGCACTCTCGACTCTATGTCAGTTTAAGCATTAAAGAGCCACGATTTTAGGAAAAAATGGCTCGAAATGACCCACGATTTTGGGAAGAATTTGTTATGATTGAGGTAATTGATTTAATTAGGCCTATGATTCCAGGGAAAAAATATGTGTTTATGTGAGCTACCATTCTAGGGATAAAGAAACCCCGAAATTCTGGAGAAAAATGTAGGTTTGAAAGATCCGATTCCTCAATTGCTAAAAAGATTTTGGCTTTAAAAGGCCTACGATTCTATGGAAGAGTTTAGGTTAAAAAGTCCCACAATTCTCGGACAAATTTCGTCGAAAGGGTTTGGTTCTATGTTAGACTTTAGCATTAAATGTCCGAACATTCTAGGTAAAAATTTGATTGAAATTACCGACAATTCTGCAAAGAATGATTCGAAGGAAGAATTTGTGAACAACAATTCTAGGGAATAAGCAAACCAATCATTCAAAAGAGAAATGTGGATTTGTAGGATTCTTGATTCCTGAAAAGAATTTGACATGAAAAAATCCACAATTCTTGGGAAGAACTTGACTATAAAAGATCCTCAGAGATATCGACGTTAAATAACCACAATTCTCCGAAAAAATTTCGGCTGAAAGACCTCTAGATTCAATGTCCGATTCTAGTCCACGCTGCCAGAAAAAAGTAGCTTGAAATGACTTACGATTCAGGGTAGAATGATTTGAGAGAAGAATTTGGTCTTTTAGGCTTATTAATCCACGATTCCTAGAAAAATGCCTTTTTTGACCTACAATTTTAGGGAAGAAGAAAAAACCGCGATTTGAAGGATTCTTGAGATGAATTTTGCTTCAAAAGATCCACGATTCTAGGGAAGATTTCAGATTTAAATTAACTAAGATTCTAGGGAAGAGTTTGGATTAAAACCCCTACAATTTTGGATAATTTTTTGTGTTTAAAGGCCGTTCGATTCCAAGTCTGATTTCAGCACTAAATGGACCGCGATTCTAGCAAAGAATATAAGTTAAGAGGACTCACAACTCTAGGATAGAATCAGGCTTTAAAAGAGTCAGATTTCCCGGAAAGAAGTTCGATTTATATGATCCAGGATTCTGGAAAGAAATTCGCCTTAGATTATCAAATTATCGATGCGGAAGAGGAAGAATAAGGGAAGATGAGCCCACGATCCACGATTCTAGCGAAGGATTTGGTTTCAAATTGCTATGGGGAAGAATACGGGGTTGAATGACCCTTGATTCTAGGAAAACTAGAAATGAAAGAATCACAATTCAATTGAAGAATTTTGGTTCCAATGACCCACGATTCCAGGTAGAAATTTAATATGGGGACATATATTTATACGTCAGATTTTAGAAGAAGAAGAGTTTCGCTTTGAGTTCAAATGTCGAACGGTACAATGCCAGATTTCAGTATGAAAATTTGATCTTTGATAAATTTTGATGAATCCTTGATTTTAGGCCGGAATTCCGAACCCCAAATTCTAGGGCATAATTTAAGGGGCTGCATTTGGTATACAAAACTATCACCCCACAGTCTCAATACAATATTACTTCTACCTACAATATACGTCATACACACATATTCCCGTCACTCTAGGGGGCAGCCACCCACCTCCCCTTTCAAAATTTAACCCATGTTTTGTACTTACCCGAAAGTGTGGTTGTGCCAAAAGTTTTGCTAACTCGCGCGACTCCAAACGTCTCGATGGTGAAAACTTCCTGATGATGTCGTCACAGATGGGCTTATTATTTAAATGAGCTGGCAAAAATGCAGGAACTGGTTGTGGTTCTGTTGGATTCAACTGTAAGAATAGATTGGAAGAAAAGATAAAAATATGAAAATGTGTTGAATTCCACTCGATCACATAAATGGACGGATGGATGGATGGGTGGTTCGTAACGACAAACAAAGTAAGTCTGTGAAAATAATTTAATTAAGTGGCTTTAATTGTTATTGTTGCGTAGGTCAAGAAGAGAGAGACTTGGGCGGAAAACAACACACATACAGACAATACGCTACATATAACATTTCCCATTCAAACACGCATTCCCAACTCAGCCAAACAGCTGAGAAATCAGCACACAACAAACTGACCAACCAAACCATTTATCATTTAATTGCCTGGGAAGGGGGGAGAGAACATTGTGAAGAAAAATACACAATAATAAGTCATAAAACAATATTGAGAATTTTTTCCATACATAATAACATATTTAATGAACTATTTAACCTTTTGAACTTTGCTTGGTTGTGAATTCTTCCTCCTCCTCCCAACAAATGGCATGTCACACAGAAAAAAAGTGTTGCAACAAATTTCAATGGAGGTTAGGTCAGGCCACTAGAACTTGATGAAGAAATTTGCCGCTGACTCAAAGAAGAATCGCTTAAAGCCAACCATCCACATGACCCCCAAAAAGATGCCATAAAATCGACGTATCTTGGCGTAATTAACAAAGATTTTGTAATGAAGGTCAACATTTGGAATAAACTTGAACTACATTGCCATTTGTTGTTCGTTTTCTTCTTCTGTTTCAATCACGCAGCAATTTTGCTTAGAAACACAAACACACACACACAGACTCATACCTTTAATTGCATTAATTAATTTTACTTCTTTTTTTTTTTGCTCGTCGTCGTCATGTGGCAAACGAGGCTTCCAACAGTTTCCAACCATTAAGTCGTTCATTCATCCACATTTGTGTGTTTTTTTAATTCCCCTTTAATTCACTTTTCTTTCATTGTTTCGTTCGAATTTATTGTTTACTTTCTATGGTAGTATGAGCATAAAAAATTGCGGTTTGAGCTGGATAGCAACGAATTATATGAGAGCTACAATAGAGCCACGCGTCTAGGTCAGTATTTGCTATAAAAGATTATGGGACAGACTTTGGAATAATGGCATCCAATATTCAACGACAGAATTTCGTAATAAAATAGCCACGATTTTGGGGATGAAATTCGACTTAGACGAACCTCGAATCAACGTCAAATTTTGGCATTACATTTATTTAAATATATTTCGACTTCTGTTTTGAATTTTCAAATTGTTGACCCTTTATGGAGTTGGTTTCGAATTAATGGACCAATATTGTCCATTTCTTATCGGCCATAAAAAAATATGATATAAATATTGTGACGTGCAAGGTCGTGGCCTATATCAACTACTTCATTCACTTTATATGAGATATGTGATAATTTTTAGAAAATGTTAAAATGTGTGTGATGTACCAGATATACAGGGTTGTCCATATTCGACGGACCCATCTGGCAACGCCATAACTTTTGACAGAGATGTCACATCGCTTAATGACATACCGCGTTTGAAGCGTCAGTCCAAGCAGATTTTTACCATGAACCAATACACGCCACGCTAGCGCTCTGAAATACTTGAAATTTACAAGAAGTCAATTGTGAAAACTCAACGTGCTTTTAAAACACTAAAAAATATGAGAAGTGCGCCTTCTAAGAACACCATTAAGCGTTTATACGAAAAATTTTCGACTGGTAAGTCTCTTTCTAATCCGAAGAGGCCATATAAAAGTCGACCAAGGCGATCGGCCGAGAATATCGCTGCCGTACGAGCCAGTGTTGAGAGGTCCCCAAGAACATCCCAAAAACGCCGTTCTCAGCAGTTGGGCATGGCTCGGTCCACTTTACAAGGGATTATTCGCATTGATTTGCAGTTGTTCCCGTACAAAATTCAATTGACGCAAAGAATGTTGCCTGCGGACAAGCCTCGTCGATTGGAATGGTCCCAAAGGTCCGTCGAATATGGGCAACCCTGTAGTCGTCCGAGGTATTCTATTTTTATCCATTTTCATTGCATATTCATATCCGATCTTGTGTTGGCAAAAATGTTTGTATGTGTGAATTTGACGAGACCTGGATGCTTATTTCGCTTTCTTTGAGCATTTTGTTTTTCAACCCTATTCATGGATATTCAAAATGTTGACCATGTGTAGGGAAGGAATAAGAAGTAGTGGATTGATATATTCCATCTTCACAGCAGATCTTGTGTTGGTAGAAATAATGGAATGTGTGATATATGAAGAGAAACGGATGCTTATTTCGGATTTTATAATCGTTTTGGTTATTCAAAACTTTGACCCTTTGTGGGGTAGGTACCAGAAGGAATGGTGCGATCTCAACCATCTTTATAACAGATCCTGTGCTGATAGAAACATTGAGATGTGACAAGTCTGAATGTTATCGGATGTTAACTTCAAGTTTTTTTAAACTTCATGGATATTCTAAATTTTTACCCTTTGTGGGGGAGGTTCAAGAAGGAGTAGATTGATATATTCCATCTTCACACCATACCTCGGGTTAATAAAAATATTGCGATGTGTGTAATTTGAAGACAATCGGTCCTGTACATCACATTTTATAAGAATTATAATTATTCAACATTTTGACCCTTGGTGGGGAGGTACTTGATGGAGTTAACCGATACTGTCTATTTTCGCACCTGACTGACCTAGCACTGATGCAAATATTAGGATTTGCAAAGTTTGAGCAAAATCGGATTATCCTTTCTTTTTCTGTGCAGTAAATTAACTTCTTTTAAAATTTTGAACTTTTGTGGGGGAGGTACCAGTAGGAGTGGACCGATATTGCCCATCTCCGAACTCGATCTAAGTTTGATAATAATACTACGATGTACAACGTTTGGGCCAAATCGGATACTCCCTTCGAGAGTATCGTGCGCACCATCCAGCTAGACAGACGGATGCACATCGCTAGATCGACTCCAAATGTCCTGAAACGGATTTAATCCAAAGAGACCTAGGGTCTAAAATCGTTATTTCGATGAGGCACGTTTTGACCAATATATACCCTCTATATGAGGATATAAAAAATCCTGCGATTTTAGTGAAGAGTGTAGAAATGGGCTTGAAGGACCATATTCTACAATTCCAACAAAGGACTTGAATTCAAATAATCCGCAATAATGGGGATAAAATTAAGGTTTAAATGACCCCTGATTCTAGGAAAAAATTGCATAAAATACTAGTAAAGTACGAAACCACGATGCAACTAAAGAGGGGAAAAAGGAGGTGACGAGGGAGGGGAGTGATCTTGTACAGAAAAATACGCATACATAGAAATACAACAACGACAAATGACATAAATAAAAAGATTAGAATCTTTTCGATTTTGAGCGAATTTTTTCCCACCCAAAAACGAGGAAAATATACTCACTCAAACCCGAGCTTCATCGAAAAATCGAGTTTGTTCGTTTTATTCCTGCTTCCAGGGGCGTACTTTCTCGAATTTGAGTGAATTTCTCTCTTTGTACAAATTCTCGAAGGTCTGTTTAAAATCAGTTTAGGAGTTCCACGAAGGAGAATAATTATGCTTCAAAAGGCTAAAGATTCTAGGGAAGTATTTTAGTTCAAATGCCGAACGGTACAATATCAATTTTTTGTATGAAAAGTACCACGATAGTGAATTAAAATTAAACATTTAAAAATGCTTGATTTTAGGGCTGAATTCTGAATCCCAAATTCTAGGGCATATATTGATGGTCATCATTTGGTGTAAAAAATTACCACTACTACGACTCAACGTTATAGCTCTTCTGCTATATAATATTTTCCCCTCTCCCTAGATGAGTACTCACTTGCAAAATCGTTCCATATCTCAAACTTAATACCAAATTTTATACTACGCCAAATCTCAAACACAGATACCAACAGCGACATCTATATCAAATTTTAGGATTTCAGCTCTATTCAGTCACACGATATCAAATTTTGTACTATTTAATACTTTTCGTACAATTATAATACACATTTCCAAAACCACCTCCAAATCTCAATTCCAGATACAATATTAAATTTGGGGATTCCAACTCTATCCTTTCACCCAATATCCAATTGAGTACTTTTCATATAATTTCAGCACTCATTTGCAAAACCGTTTCATATCGCAATTCTAGACACCAACAGTTATCTCAATATACGTTTTCACGTTTTACACATGTTCATCTCTATCCCTTCACCCAATACCAAATTATGTACTCTTTAGTACTTTTACACATTCCAGACATATATCAATTCCAGATACCAACAACTACCTCAGTATCAATTGAGAGTTCCAATCCTATCCCTTCATCCATATCAAATTGAGTATCATTCAGCAATTTTCGTACAATTACAGTACAGATTTTTGAGACCTCCTCCATATGTCCATGTTACACATGAACAGCGACCCTAATACAAAATTTCCGATTTCACCCTAATACAATATTTCCATCTCACGTTTCCAAAACAGTCTCTTTACACAAACCTATCACCACAAAAAAAATTTCAGCTTCATCCGTTTACCCTAACCAAACTGTTCCGAATTTAGTACCATTTAGTGCAGTTCGCACAATATCAAACTTACTTTGCAACTCTAATTCTCATTCTTAATTTCTAGTGTCCTTTGGTACATCTATGATGCACTCCATCAGTGAATCTCATTCCAAATTTCGCAATTGCAGCTCTTTCCGTTCACCACAGTTTAAATTTGTACCAAATTTAGTACAGATTTCTAAATCTGCCTTCATATAGAAATCCTCTTTCCAAATTTCAGAATTCCAACTCTACCGGTTCTCCAAAAATTTAAATAGTACCAAATTTAGTATCATTTGTTACACATAAGTGTGAATTTCCAAACTTTATGGTTTTAGCTTTAAACGTTCACATGATACGATATAGTACCAAATGTAGTACTTTTCGTACATTTATATCGCGAATTTCCAAAATCTAAGAGTTCTAGCTCTATTGGTTCGTCGAATACAAAGGATACCATATT